CTGTGGTCGGACTGATTTTAGTGCTAAGATGCTATCGGAAAAATTTGATACCGATACAAGATTCCAGACGTAAGTGGAACTCATTTTACTTTACTCAGCATTGGAATTATTTGATAATTTGCATCCGAGAAATTTTCGTGGGAAAATTCAGGACAAATGATCCAAATCGCTTTTTCTGGAGTGTAAAAATTGTATCAGCATGATAAATCGTGAGCAGACTTATTCATTATTTTCAGTGGGAAGTCATCCAAAAAATTTTGTATGCTGTGTCATATAATTCCTCTTGATTTTAATGATGATCAGTATATACTCAATCTTTGTTTTCTTTTTTTCTGATTGATTCTGCGTTTTTATCATAAGTAAGATCAATTCTATGACTCCTAGAACGGCAATTCATGCACCAAATAATACCGACGAAAACAGTTGTCAAATCAGCAGAAAAATTAAATCACTTCCGGATATGAAATTGGGAACTTTTTGAGACACAGCGGAAGCAAAACCCCTTACTGTAATTGAACATTTACGAAAGCCTCGCAAAGAATTCTTACAAATACTCCAAATGCTTCCCTGTTAGGAAGAATATTTTATAATCCCTTATAAACGTGAAAAATCAGAGCATTTCAAATGAATGAGCATTTATCAGGACAATAGTCCGATATCTTGAGTATAGAAAATGTGTGCTTCAGCGTGGATTTGTCGTGCGAAAAGTCTGTTATGCGAATCGTCCACTATAACTGGGATATCTAAATCGAATGAATGAGCATTTATCAGGACAATAGTCCGATATCTTGAGTATAGAAAATGTGTGCTTCAGCGTGGATTTGTCGTGCGAAAAGTCTGTTATGCGAATCGTCCACTATAACTGGGATATCTAAATCTTTTGAATTGTGTTCTCTTGTCTAAATTATAGCCCCGAATCGATTGAAATCTTGGAGAGAACCCAGGTTCAAGGCGACTGGAAACGAATTGTTTTGGGAGTATGTCGTTCCCCACAAGACCAATGAAACTTACAGTTCGGAAATTTACACACATGCTGACCCGGTGTACGAGGATCTCCATTTTGCAGATCGAACGATGACGTCGACGTTTGACACAAAGAAATGAAGAGACAACGACGTTGATTTTCAAGCGGTATATATCGTTGATGCGACACTTTCTTTTTTTTTTCGTTTGGGATACGAGGGATGTTTCATAAGTCTTGTGACTACAGTATTTCAAATAGATTCGAAATGCAGTTTGGTCAATATTGAAAAATATTGTTTTCCTAACATAACCTCGTCACGCGGCAAAACTTCATCGCTCTTCAACATACTCTCCGCCACTTTAAATTTCAATTTCATGCAATAAGTCTAATGATAAAAAATTGGCAAAGATCAAGTTCAGACTGGAATTTTCCTTGTGCCACTGTTTTGGTCGTTGGATTTATCGCATGAAAAAGTGCATTGAAATTGGCAGAGAGTATGTTGGAGAGCAATGAAGTGTTGCCGGGAGACGAGGTTTTGCGGGTGAAAAAAAAAGTTCATAATTAAACAAACCGTGTTGGATCTATTTGAAATAGTCGCAAGACTTATGAAACAACCCTCGTATGTATTTGAAGTTCTTTCCGTCTGTCCATTATGCCGAAGACCGAATGCTGGCCATAAATTTTCTTGCGATTGTATTTCCAAGATCAATAAAAACTCATAATGCTTTTGGCGACATTTTAAAATTCTTGAACATATTTTTGCGACGTCAACTACGTTCAAATGATGATAAGTCTTGAAACAGGAGGTATATTGCATATCTTATCAAGGCCAAACCTGCGATTTATCGCTGGGTTTCAGACAATTCGACGCGTTTTGCGCTGCATATGAATTCCGGAATGAAAACGATTTAAAATCCTTGAATAAAACCATGGTATTATAGCTTGATAAATTCATTGAGGACGAGAGTTTCCGAAAAACGGACTCATCAGGAACCTCCAAATTCGAGAGAAAAAGCGTCTGATCCTGGTTTTTCCAAAACCTCCAAGTCCGGACCCACCGGAACTGCTACTGGATGAACTGGTGAACGGGTTGAACAACGGGTTTCTGTTGGTATTGCGGTTGGAACCCACTGCTGCTGGAACCTGACCAAAAGTAGAAGAAAAATATAATCAGAAAATGCACGATGAATTTCCCATATATTGTTTATCAAACATTATTCCAAAGTTTGATTAAAAGACGAATAATTACTTATACACGAGTTATTAGAATTGAAAACAATTTGATCCTTTTCAGACACTCACAAAATTACCATAAACGCACATTCATAAGATGTGCAATTTATAGAAAGCTTTTTTTAGTTTAAAACTGCGAGGTTATAATTGATTAGCAAGAAATTGGAGAAATCCTGAAGATTTTCAGTTCTTGATTCGATGAATTTCACAAGATGTATGGATTAGAACAGTTTAAAATTGACGCTTTTCGTATCTTTCGCTTCATAAAAAAAATCTCTCAAGTTCCCACGTGACACTCCCTGTATTTCAATAAATTTTTGGGCGGATAATTTTCGTCATGCGATAATTTTTTAAATCTCAATGCGAGACGCTATGAGCTGAAAAAAATATCAACGTAAACTTTTCTTTTTGAAAGTTTCTTGTTAAGCGGGGACCCATCATTTAAATAAACCATTGATTTTATTTAAATTGCTGGAAGGAAAAATGCAGCCAATATGCATGAATGGAAGTACAATTTTTTTTTACACATTTTAAGGAATTAACTGAAAGGTTTATCGCAAATGGTTAGATTATCTTGACACAAAATGAAACGTTGGCAACTGTTTAGATTACTTTTGATTTTTTTTATGTCTCTGCCAAGGGATTTTTTCTTATAGATCTTTCGAATCCGAATCCACGCATTTCAGATATAGAAAAAACAAAAAATCCAGGCCGAATTCTTCGCTAATTTGGCGTGTAAATTAATATTTCGTGGTCACTTGATACTGTAAATTCACCACAACACCAGTATTTTTGAACATGGCTTTTTGGCTTGGGGG